ATATATATATATATATATATATATATATATATATATATATATATATATATATATTAATATATATACATATACATATACACACACACACACACACATATATATATATATATATATATATATATAGATATATATATATACATACATACATACTTATACATATATATATACATACATACACACACACACACACACACACACATATATATATATATATACACGTCAAGGTAATCTTATGATAAAAGTCATCAAAATTATGATATATATATATATAATGATTTGTACATAGAGCACCTTGGGATCCACATGCACTTGCGCTTCTTTATATGTGGGCAAATACTATATCTTGCAATACCTACCTTCGTTGTATCTCTTTTCCCCTCCAGAATCCACGACGCATCACTCCCCAGGACATATTCTTCATCGACAATTCATCTTTGGAAGTTGCTTCCTTATTAACGAGTTCGTCGCCTGTACGTTTTGGCCGCATACTGTCGCCAAACTTCCTCCTGGGGCGAAGTTGTGCACTGGACTGTGTGTTCACAACAGGAGTGCTCGATTGACGGATGATTTCTTCCGGTGAATTTTTGTTGACAATCTTGGATGTGCGGAGACCATCATTCAGAGCTCTGCGAGATTGGTTTATCTGATAACCCCTCATTGTATAAGTATTGATGTGGTCATAAAAGTGGATTAAACTTCATATAAGCTCTTGCATTTATAAATTTAAAAAATGGGTGTGCACTCCGCACAGTGCACACTGTGCAGAGAATTCGAGCAATCATGTCAGAACTCGTCTCCCCTATTCTGATTGGTGCTACGAGTGACACGCTATTTTCCGCGGGGAATATTCAGTATTCGACAGCTGGTGTAGAGTTGTGACTTGTAAAGTTGTAGTCTTGTGTAGAAGTTGTAGGCATCTATACTGCATGCGGATACGTATTATTAATGTATACTAATAATTAAATTTTGGTACCAAATTTCGGGTGTATAAATACTCTCTATTCTAAGAGTTAATTTAAACTTCCCGTCATTATGGGACACAGAAGAGAGGGGAAAAGAGCGAGAGGATTTAACAATTCTTCAAAGTGTCCGTCCAAGTGACTACTCAGGAATGTGATTGTAAATTACAGAATGGCGAACTTTATCACAGTCCAGATCCGTACCATTTAGGATGGAGGCATATATCATTTGCAATGTTCATCCTATACCATCTGCAAATGGCACCAAGGGGGAAGGTGACACGTGTACTGTAAGTTAGTTATCAATTATTTCGAGGGCGACAATAAGACTGACTCTCATAATGTAAATACCGAACTCGTTGTGTGATCGATTCTGTCTTCAGTGGCATTTGTAACTTTGTGTATAAATGAATGCACATCTAGAAATAATTGCTTTAACTCGAACTTTTCACCCCCATGAAACCACGATTAGCAACACCGATCCCCTTTGAATAGTGCGTAGTCACAGTACCATAGCTTCCTTCAATGTCACAGTCCGAGGAGCACGAGCCGCTTCGGCGAGGACATTGTGTAACTCACATTTGAAAAGTTTAATTGACATTCACACGTCTGGTTTAGATATAATGTTTTTATTCTCAGTGGCGTACTCCCCAAGCTTCCAGTCTCTGACTATTGCTTTCCGTTGTCAAGATATATTCGTCGAACCTCCACTAACTATTAGAGAACATGGTATATTTTCTAAAACCCTTTCGCAATACGCAGCATTCGTCGTTAAGCAATGACTGCTGTGAAAAGATCGCATCGGCATACGTATACCCGATAGCTGAGAGTTGACATATACGTGTCATGACAGCAACCTTCGGTATTTTTAGTATTGCTCGACTCTCCTTAAATACTGACAACCAATAGCTCACATGATGATTTTTGTGACAACTTTCTACATCTCCGATGGGTCTATATAGTGCCTGAGATAACTCGTCCCAATTCAGTATCCTCAGAGGGATCCGTATCCGAACTTATCAACTCGGCAGCAATGACTGCCTGACTTATATACCACGAAATTGTACATCCCCGATGAAATATCGCCAAAGTATACATTGCAGCGACGAGTCGACCACCATCTTGTTAACGAGATAACACATTTTGGCGTGTCAAGAGCAGCCTGTAAACATATCTTACTGCCAATAGTAGCTTGGAGTGCTATCCCAAAAGTAACTTGTTGCTGTCATACATATAAACAGTACCGATAATTACCAAGATACGGCCACACACACTACATATGCAGTAGGCAGGGCTTATGCGGTGATATAGATCCCCATTATGCTTCCGGGTTAGCTCGATACATACATTCTTTTGATAAAGTATACAACAGAGGTCTCTATGCAGATACAAAACGCAGTAGTCGAATTATGGGATAAAACAAATGTATTCGCAAGCCGTAAGATACACTCATAAAAACAAATATATATTTCAAGTATAATTATGCCATTATAAACGCGTATCAACACATACAACTTAAAACTACAGGTATTTAGCGACTGCACAAAGAACAAGCTTCCGAAAAATAAAAACATCCACAGTACCGAAAACAACAAAGCATGTACTCTCATTATAAATTAATCATATCAATACTGCGCATGCACATTTCAGTCATACCCAGGAGATGCCGCTAGTCTCGCAGATGACAGCATTCGCACGCGTGCAGTTGTAGGCTATTATACGTACGTTAGACATGCACTAACGTGATACAGACTCATTCTTTCTTATGCGAGACGACCAATATATAAGTTCAGATACCACCACTCTTGGCCTTATTTGCATTTATATCACAGAACGCGACAAAAAACGACTATTTATTTATATACTGATTAGAAACAGTAGATATTTACTCGTTATCCTCGGTTCTGATCTTGGCAGCTCCGTTGGTTAGCTTAATATCAAGCTCGCCAGCACGCTCAAGAATTGACTTACGCTTGCGAGATGACACGTTGTGCGCAATCTCTCCACAGTAGCGCTTGTTGTGCATCATAAGAAGCTCCAAATCGCTCTGCGTATACAAAAAAGTTATATTTAGCGTATACACAATAAGTGATGACCATCGTAAAACCTTCCATATTATGAATAGAGCATCAAATACACAACACAGTGATACCAAAAAATAACACTCAGGTATATTTTACTGTGCAATGTAGACAACTTGACGTAAAAACGATATATTGCATCGCAATGTAATAGGATCAGTTAATGTCTATATAGACTTCTCCGCATCGTCGAGGGCCTAACCACGACTAAGACAGGGATAACTTAAGTAAATCATTTCCTACTACGCGCTAATTCTGACGATAGAGACACCATAATCCGAAAATGACCTATGAAACACAAAACTTACTACGTTGGAAACCAAGAACTTCTTGAATCCGTCGCGAAGCATGTGTCTGGTCTTCTTGTTTGTTCCATAACCAATGGATACCATACGGACGGTACCTGTGTAGGACACAAATAGATAATGAGAATTTTTGGAAAACTGTACATAGCTATAGTATACAAACTACAACATGGCGATTACGCTCGAGCAAAAAAGATATACGGATTTAGTACGCGTACAATATAGGATCAGTTAATGTCTATTTAGACTTCTCCGCATCGTCGAGGGCCTAACCACGACTAAGACAGGGATAACTTAATTGAATCATTTCCTACTGTACATACTAATATTCGCGCTCGCATACATTTCTTCTGAGAAAATACATCATAGTATAGCCGTGACTTGCGCAAAAAAACATCACAGCTTGTTAACATAGATGTCAATCAGAAGTTGGCGAATATGACTTTTTAACACGTACATCTACACAGTATGCTCAGAACAAACTAACGAATGTGATACCAAGAAAAATCATGACTTTTTAACACATACATCTACACAGTATGCTCAGAACAAACTAACTAACGGGATACCAAGAAAAATCATGACTTTTTAACACATACATCTACACAGTATGCTCAGAACAGACTAACGAATGTGATACCAAGAAATCATGACTTTTTAACACATATATCTACAAAGTATGCTCAGAACAAACTAACTAGCGAGATACCAAGAAATCGGCTACATACCCTTAGCACGGCGACGCACACGGGAATCGATACCACGGGGCTTTCTCCATGACTCGTCTACACGTTTGAAGCGATCAGACTGATGGCGTTTAAACTTCTTAGTTCTCTTGTGAACAATGGGGACATGCTTGGCGGAGGCAACCATTTTGCCGGCTTTTTACTCTATAATTGATGGTTGAACGATGTGATCAGATGGCACACATTAGTTTTAGCGTGTAGAATGCTTATGTATGCTACCGTTAGTCATAATGCAGCGTGTTAAAGAGATGGCACCCCCCCACCCTTATTACAGCCATATATGGATGAGGTCTATATATAAATATACATACATGTATCCCCAATTCCTATCACGTTATAGCTAAACACCTGAAGCACAGATTTCCATTTTGGGATTAAACAGAACGAAGAAGTACGTGAGTATTCTCGCACCAATACATGTTATACGCATGCATTTAGCAATGACTGTGGCGTCTCCATATGCTGCCGGGTGATGCAAAATATTTTTCAGCTGTATTCATTGTCTGTACGCAGTTATACCAAAGTCTAAGCGAATGTTGCCGAGTGTATCATACGTCATGATTTCTCTTTTCAGTCGAGAGCCTCTATTTTGTATATAGATGCTTATCTTCCTATATATTTTTTTGATTTGCTGCATATATGTGTACGTATGTATATTGCGCTTAATGTTGTCGCTGCTGTATCTTGTCATTCGTGATTTGCCCATTTCTACGTAGGCGACGCTTTCTATAACGATATTCTAGTATTATTAGATATACTCTAGTATTCCCTTACAAACCCATATAGTGTACACACCTATACGGATATAAAGTAGAGGGGAAAAGAACGATGGTTATCCTGCGTGAGATATAGTTAGCTTATTTCTATACGCGTACGTCCCCACAAAATCCTTTACAATACAACACACGTGCAGTTTAGGTTTGGGTAGAACAATTTTAGATATACGATTGAGTGCAACTAAGGAGGACCAAAAACTGAAAGCCAAACCCCTTGCCTGCTAATTGTCTCTGATATTGTTTTATTTCGGAAAATTCTCAGTCCTAATTTTCAGAAAAAAGTTATGAATCAGGAACGCGCCAGATTCCAACTTATTTTTGATAGGCAATATTAGGTCAATCAGGCAATCCCACATATAATATTAGTCCCGTTTTATGAGACTAACCGTATTACGGGACGATCCTGAACTGATATCTCACACGAGGACCTCCATAATATAGTCTTTGGCGTTTAACCAATTTTCCAAAGCTCGTATTGTAGAAAGAGGTAATAGTTATTGATCTAACTTTTATGGTAAATCAAGCTGATCTTACAGAGATGTAGTTCTTTTTCGCCTTCGTCTCGTACTAGCAAGGTTTAAACATACTTTAAAATGGCTTCCCGTCCCGTAGTATCCGTAATCGGCCTTGATGGCTCCACTTCTGCTGCCACAAACACACTTCCAGCTGTGTTCAGGACCAACATCCGTCCCGATGTTGTTCGTGATGTGCACACATCCATGAACAAGAACAACCGTCAGGCTTACTCCGTATCCAAGGAGGCTGGTCACCAGACCTCAGCCGAGTCATGGTAAGATTGTCCGTATATTCGTGTTTAACGAGGATTAGGTTCATTTACGAGGTATCTTCTATATTAGAGCCTGTATTTTTTTATGGTTACTGGATGTTGGTTAATGCATCGGAATAGCGAATGTGAATGCAAAATTGCTTAAGTACACTATCGCAATTCGAGTGGTTTATTGCGTCACAATGTCTATCTTTTACGGCTAGTTATTGCTTTATTAATAACCCGCGTTGTAGATGGTTGACGATCAGTAAATGTGTCAAGGTAGTAAACACGGTGAAGGTATTCAAAATATCCTCTGGTATCTTATATTTCTTCGCATACACGAGCTATAGATAATGTCGGTTCAAATTGGTGCTATTTATTTGAGACTTTTAGTAAGAATGTCAGCTATGGATTCAATTGGGACATTATCGAGGTATAGTGATTAGAAAATCTTCTAAGTTATCCCTGTCTTAGTCGTGGTTAGGCCCTCGACGATGCGGAGCAATTTTGTATGAACCTCGATCCTGTCCCAATTTTGTCTGTTTCTTCCCTAGTCTATACTTATTTAATCAGCTGTGTATACGTACATCTATTTCCCATCATACGTATTTCTCAAAAAATTCATGTATATATAATTGCAAATCGTATAGGGGAACCGGTCGTGCTGTCGCACGTATTCCCCGTGTAGCTGGTGGAGGTACCCACCGTGCTGGACAGGCTGCTTTTGGAAACATGTGCCGTTCTGGACGTATGTTTGCCCCCACCAAGGTTTGGCGCAAGTGGCACAAGAAGATCAACCAGAACCAGAGACGTTACGCCACCGCCTCAGCTCTGGCTGCATCTGCCATCCCCGCCCTTTTGATGGCTCGTGGACACACCGTAAGTTTGTCTTGATGTTTGTATTTAAGCGACAGTCATTGTTGGGTATGTATATGGTGAGCTCCCGAGATACTGAAATTTTCTCCCCGTAGATGCCGGATTGTATATGTTTTGTCATTGAGCTGTCAATAGAGAGAGATTTTTATGATTTAATATATGATTATTTGTTTACGTGAGACAGTTCAATGTATTGGTGTATTGATGAAAGTTCTGAAACAGAGTTTGTGTTCTCATACATATTTCGCTCCCATGTTGTAAATACACAGATTGACAACGTTCCTGAGGTACCTCTAGTTATCGCTAACGATATCGAGGGTCTAGCCAAGACCAAGGCTGCCGTTGAGCTTATGAAGAAGGTTGGTGCTTACGATGATGTTGAGAAGTGTGCCAACTCTCGCAAGGTCCGCAGTGGAAAGGGAAAGCTTCGTAACCGTCGCCACGTCATGAAGCGTGGACCTCTCGTCGTATACAAGTCCGATAATGGTCTTACGAAGGTGAGCTATATTTCGATATCTTATTGAACATCCTATACTATCGCTGGTTCGTAATGATGCCTTTTCATATCTGTCAATCCCCTGAAATTATATGTTGATACCAACTTTATGACCTGAACAACACGTACTTGCGATTAGTATCTAGTTTTTTACCTGGTTCGAATTCATGTTTGCTGGTCGTCTTTTGCCTAATGGTATTTATTTTGTTTTTAGGCTTTCCGTAACATTCCCGGCGTTGAGCTGTGCAATGTTGAGCGTCTGAACCTTCTTCAGCTCGCCCCCGGAGGTCATGTTGGACGTTTCATCATCTGGACTGAGGGTGCTTTCTCTGAGCTAGACGCCATCTGGGGAACCTTCCGCTCTGGATCCCAGAAGAAGTCTGGATACACTTTGCCCAAGAGCATCATGTCCAACCCTGACATCACCCGTATCATCAATTCCGATGAGGTGCAGTCTCAGCTTAAGGAAGCTAAAGAGCCCGCACGTCGTTTGGCTCATCGCAAGAACCCTCTTGCCAACGCCAATGTTATGCTTCGCATGAACCCATACGTCAAGCAGAGCAAGCGCCACGAGATGCTTACTGTTGAGAAGAGACAGAAGGCCAAGGCTGAGAAGAAGCAGACGCAACGCGCAAAGTCCGCTGACATCAAGGCTCTTGGCAAGAAGTTCATTGGAACTATGGTTGCCGAGTAAATTTCTAGGAATTGTTGTATTTTGCTAGAGATAAGACATATAAAATGCAATTAAGCATTTATTCTTACAACTGTATAGAGTGCGAGTCTTTGTTGACGAGCGAGTGTTATATAGGACCTTAGATGATCGAGAGAGTTTTAGCTTGGAGATTAGATCATCGAGTTTCTGGATGTATGTATATATATATTTATAAGAAAATGTATTCTTTAACACAGCGGCGTGTTTGAAGCACATGCTGAAGTCAATTTTATCTGAACCACTACTCGTATGGGGGGCAAGACTTGGGTTGATATGGAGCTTAGCTTGTAAACAATGTAGAAGTTAACTCCCACGAAATCGTCCAGATTTGATTACAAGTAGGGCATACACGAGATAGTAGACGCGCGTTGACAGCAGTTCAATGCCTTGTGTTGCAAGCTTCTAACTGATGGACTTGTAGGGTTCGCCGAAGTATCTACCGGTGTGAAATATAGGCGGAGTGGATCAGCAGTAATTAGGGTCTGCTGTTCGATTGAAAGGTAATAAGTATTCATGGTTTGGGTTTGGTCGTTGACGGCGCAGATTGCATTCATAATATTTTGTTAGTGTGTGGAGAAATGAGAAGGGCGAAATTTACGACTACAGAAGATGAACGGTAATTTCGATATCAGCTCGGCGGTTTCAGGTATATTAAACAGCTGCCGGTGTTGCAAATGATAGAGGTAGCTCTCAATTGTGATCGCAAATTGAGTTAGAAAGTTTGCAACGTACTCGATTACGATGTAACTTGCGTGTTTCAAGTATGTACAGATAGGGGACTCTATATATTACAAGTAGTAAGAGGTGTCCATTGCAAATGGTCTAGAAAAAACCGTGTCATTATGGGGTTATGATCAATCAGATTACCGCCAAGTAAGCCATTGGTGACAGAAAAATTGAACTGAGTGCAATCAATTATTTTGCAGTAGGCCTGGTGCCTGCCAGGAGGGATCTCAATGGGATTGTTTTTTTCTAAACTAATACAATAAAGGTTTTCACGATCCTGTTATATACATAGTGTATTTCACCGATTTGGTCGATGCCGGAGCTAGACCAATTGTAAATCGTCGTGGCTCACTATATGAAAAGGTTGTTGGCAACATGTAAGAGTCGGCAACATGTACGAGCACTGAGTTGTGATAGTGTTGTAATCATTAGTCTTACCTCAGGAATAATTAATTGATTACAATACACACGAGTTCAACACATTTTAAAAATTGTACACTCGTACTTCTTCGTTGAGAGAAGCCTGCGGAGAATTCTATATTTATTTACTTATGACTTGACAATTGACCTGTACACAATGCCGATACGATCTGATTTGTGTATATTGCCGCAGAAATTGAACTGAAACAGAAACCATATCTTGATTGGTGCTTAATGCTATGAAATCTCAAATCTCAGAATCTGAAGCCTGAAGGTCACAGTTCACTGAATTAAGTGAATTCAGTGAGACACTATTATTTTTAGAGTCTATGTAATCACTAATCAGTATTGTCATATCCGGGTGCTACATATGTAAATACAGTACTCATACGGTATTTTAGTTTTTACATATTCTATTTTATTTTTTAAAATTTTATAGAAGGGCGAACCGTCGCCTGGACTCTGGAGTCCTGAACAGACGGTAAAAACAACAACAACACAAATGCATAAAATATATATACAATTAAAATGAAGGACAAATAAAAAACAATGTTGTACTCTATGAATTGTTTTATTTTAATTCATACATTGAGTAGTTCTGTGGTTGGCTACTCTCTCTCTCTCTCTCGTGCGGTATGTAACAGTAGTTAGTGAGAGTGGGACTCACAGTCTCACACCGACACTGTCACATTCACAGGCCACAGTCCACACTCACAGCCCTCAGCGTCTCAGGCACTTAGCGCCCCAGCCCTGAAGTTTCTACTTATCTGTTTTGAGTTTTCATGCATGAAGCATCGTGGCCTAGAGCCGGGCCCCAGGCCCAGGGCCCCAGGGGCTTTCTGGCCCTGACTAAACTAATCAATATAATATTCGTACATACCTACCTGCTGGGGGCCTGGGGCCTGGGGGCCTGGGGCCTGGGGGGCCTGGGGCCACCTTTGGGCAGGCTGGCAGACTGACCCTCGTCGCTGAGAATCTCAAAATTGAATTTTACGTGACGATTTGGTTGGTACTGGTGGCATATTTTACCGGTGTTTTCAATTTTGCTTTACAGTTTTAGGGTTTTTATAAAAAGTTAGCGAATTTTATATATACTCCTTGAGTTTGATACTCGCTAGCCCCATGCCGCCAGCGAACAGTTGTCGCACATTTAAAAAATAGATTCCAACAAGGTTACACGGCGCTATCAACAGGATCATTGATATTGTGACTGCTGAGAACGCTGTCGCGACAAGTCGTTTAAAAAAAGTTTTAATATGTCTTTCTGGTAAAAGACCCAGAGGGGAGTAGATACACCTAAAAATTTATCGGAGGGAGACCGTCGTCACATATCTTTTCCGGCGACTGTGTTTTTTACCAGGCGGGAGTAATACGTCCTTTGGTATATTATTACATTGTGTAATCTTTTAGCGCCTTTCCGGGTGTTATGACATACCGTACCATAGCCTGGCGCACTGGTTCACTCTTCGTTTCCGAGGTAATTTACACCGTCTCTCTCCTTTTTTTGGTGCCACGGCAACGCGAGTTGCACTGCCTCATTTCTTGAAGTAATGAGGTGGTGCCACGGCAACGCAAAATGCTCTATCTCTTTTCATAAAATATCTGCCAAGGCAACGGTTTGCATCAGTCAAGCGTACTGTAATTAATTAAACCGTTAAAAGACGTATTACTCTCATTATCTTTAATTTTGTTATGCTCCATTGACTTAGGATGCATCTGGTAGATAGTATAAGCTATAAAGGTGGTGGTACCGCATCAATCTCACATCACTTATTTTTAAGCTGACACTTTATACCTTAGTAGACATAACTTGACCAAAACTGACACTCCATACCAGTGTATATCTATCTTAGTAGATAACTGTGTTGTCCTTGATACTCACAAAGTAGTTCCACAATGAAAGCGAACTTCATCTTTATAGCAATTGCTCTCACCGTATTCTCCGGTTATAATGCGCAACATGCTTCCAAACTAGATAACCCTTCTCTACTTTCCCGTGCTGAGTACCCTGGTGTCGACGTATCTCGCTTTCCTAGTTATGATCCTAACAGGTGTGCCACCACCACGAGCTCCAATTTACCGAGCACAATCAGTGGCTCTGGTGTAGTATATGAACTGAGAGATGGCACATACAACAATGTTGATATTACAGTGACTAATGGTGCTGTATTAAGAGCACAAAACTATCGAGGAGTGAGATTCAGCGGTGCCGTACGTGTGAAGGTAGAGAACAATGGGGTTCTTGATGGCATCATCTTCGAGAATGCGGCACCTATTGCTATTGGGCTTGTTGAACCCAACCAGGGCAGAGTCACACGCTGCGAGTTCAATGGTTTGCATAGTCCTTCTGGTACATCTGACCGCAAGAGAGCTATCTATGGGCGTGGAGGCTATCAGATCATAGATCATAATTCCTTCTTCGATCTATGCCTTTCATCATTGACCGTGGTAGTTGATGAAGACGGACCAAGTATCACGTACAGGAACAGGTAAAAAATATGCTCATCATACATCAATATTGTGACACAGCCGTTCTTGGGCCTTATTTTTCAGATGGTTTAAAGGGAAGCTCTTTGTGTTATTCGCGATCGTTGTGATATGATATGCTCATTTTGCAACTATTGATTTTAACATCATTTATATCATAGATTCGTCAAGCAGTGCAGAGACTTTGGAACCGAAGTGTGGCGCGTGGGAGGCAGCAGCGTTTCACGCAAACAGTCATTTGCATTCGTAGACGAAAACTACTTTGAGGATCAGAATGGCGAGCACGAACTAATGAGTATCAAGGCGTCTAATGTAGTTGTGCGTCGGAACACGCTCACTAATTGCGTAGGCTCCATTACTAATCGGTATGTATTCCATCACACGAGTCTGGCAGTTGCATATACATCGAAAGTACACTTTACCAAGGACCAACTTTAAGAGGAATACATATGAAAAAGCTAATATCAGTCGAAACATGTATTGTTGTATTGCATTTTATTGTACTGCATTTTCGTGTTTAATCGAGTCTGTTCCTTTATTTATCCCATTTCTATAACCCCACCCCCCATGTGTATGCGATGTACAGATATGGAAGCTCCATCACGATCCAAGGTAATCACATTACATGCGCCATTAAGACTGAGGGCGGAATCCGATCCTTCGGTCGTGACCAGGATATCATCAACAACCTTGTGTCCAACTGTGAGGACTCAGGACAATATGGTATTGCATTAGGACTAGGTGACAACTGTTTCGGTTCACAGGGAGGGTGTGATTATGAAGTGGGTTCAAATGTGGAACTCAACGGAAACTTCCTACTATCCGGAAGTTCATTGGTGGTAGGAGATAACGGCGGTGGCAATGTTTGCCCGACCTATGCCTCTGTATTCAACAATGTGTTCACTGGGGAAAATAGACGGGGACGAAGCGACAGAGGTGAGCTCTGTGTCCTACCTACCAACAGAAACTCCAACTCATTTACGTTTATACGGCCCACCGCCCTAAACCCCGATGAAACGGGACCTTTTCAACGCACATCATCTCAGTGTGGGCCTTGTACAGGTCAGTGCCGCAACGGTCAGTGTGCTGTAAGTGGTTCAGGGTTCAGATGTACCACTTGTGATCTCGGCTATCGTTTGGCTAACAATGGACTTTCATGTGAATTAGCGAATGTATGCGACGGCCAGTGTGCCAACGGTGTATGCGTGGCCGGTGCAAGTACCCACATGTGTGTCAGGTGCGGTCCAGGCTTTGAGGTGTCTCCCGACGGACTGTCGTGTGACGAAGTTATCCCTAGAGATGATGGGAACGATTCGGACTTCGGTACGGATCCCTCCGACAACTACTATATCTGCGGCAGCCCAGATGTGCAAACAATCAGATGCTTCCAGTCAGATACGATGGGCTACCTACCAAACACTCCCTGCTGTGTAGAACAGGACAGCTGTGGCACATACGCGTCTATTCAGTGCCAGTCAGTCAGCTGCTGTGAGCGTGCGGAAAATATGGAAGTTGGACCTACTCCTTCTCCTGAGGTGCCTGATGTAACTGAGGTACCTGATATGCCTGAGGTACCTGATAGGCCTGAGGTACCTGATATGCCTGAGGTACCTGATAGGCCTGTACCTGAGGTACCTGATATGCCTGAGGTACCTGATAGGCCTGTACCTGAGGTACCTGATAGGCCTGTGGTACCTGATGTGCCTGAGGGGCCTGATATGCCTGAGGTACCTGATAGGCCTGATGTACCTGATGTGCCTGGGGTGCCTGATATGCCTATAAGAATGCCTGATGTACCGGCTGTTGGGTCACCGAGCGATGTGGATACCAGCGGGAACTACTTTACTTGCGGAAAAGAGCTCCCATACAGCAAATGCAACGGTCGCACATACACATGGGGTAGGCCGTGCTGCCGGAATTCGGGCAGATGCGGCTCATACTCAAAAATCAAGTGCACGAGCACAAAGTGCTGTCCCAATTAGAACACAGTGATCCAATAGTTAGATCGCACTCTACTACGACATGCTGGACATGCTCGTGTAGAAGTGTACGGAAGAATTTCGTTTCCGTATGTCAGGTCCATATAGGAGACCATAGAGCGAAGCTCACAAATTACAAGGCCAGCAATATTTCCTGTGTCATAGTCGTGCCGTAGACATCCTTTGCTTTGTAAGCAACAACAAACTCACGGTCGAGACACAGAAGTCCTAGCCAACTCTGAAAAGGAGCCATGGAACAAATGGTCCCCTCTTTTAAAAAAATAAATAAATAGAAGTAATCCTGATCGAAGTGATGAAATCGGATCCAACCGTCCTCTACACTAAAACGTTGTTATCATTGTGCGCATAAGAATACCTGCATATTTATCCATTTTCCCTCATACATGATTGTCTACATTGGCGAACTGGAGTTTGAAGCACTCCTGATCGAAGTGATGAAACCGGTTGCAGCCGTCCTCTACACCACTGACTTCAACGTTATCGTTATGCGTGGAAGAAGACCTTCATATTCATCTATTTTCACTTATACATCCTGATCAAAGGGATGAAATCGGATGCAGCCGTCCTATACACCACTGGCATGAACGGTTTCAATATCAAATACACCGGCTCGCAGAAGGATCCCTTCATGTTTATCTATTTTCACTTATACATGCTTTTGTCTAAATGGCGAACTGGAAATTGAAGTAATCCTGATCGAAGTGATGAAATCGGATGCAGCCGTCCTAACATTTTCAATATCAAACAAACTGGCTCACAGTCGGACACCTTCATATTTATCTATTTTCACTATACATGCGTGTTTACATGGCGAACTGGAAATTGAAGTAATCCTGATCGAAGTGATGCAATCGAATGTAACCATCCTCTCCTCCACTCGCGAATCTGTAAGAGAAATGGACAAAACAAGGACACGAGTGAGTTCGACGATATAAGAAGATCGAAATCCAAGCATGTGTGTCACATGAAGTATGTGATGGCGTGGATACAAAACTATCGTAGCCGAGGCGACTGGTGTTGAACACAACAGTGCCCACAATGGAAAACCAGATTCAATATACTCAAACGAAGGTGGTCTCAGGAGTATTAAACGCTATCATTATCAGATATAATTCAAAACAGAATTCAATACACAAAAAGAGATTGTGGTCTCAATGGTATCAACAGACATGAATGTTATCTCATGGTAGAATATCTAAAAATTGGTGGTCTCAGCAGTAATAAATGTTATCCTCATGGTAGATTATCGGATACTATCTAAGCTTACAAAATCATTGACCAAAACTACGCTGCAGCGCAACGCAAATGACTAATAACAGAAACGGACGCAAGGTATGCTGAATAAGGACAACGACAAAACCTACAAGTAAACAAAGAATGAATACAATATATAAAAAACCAATGTAACTCATGCAGTGCATAAGCGTACACAGTCGCGTGTAATTGACCCGTACATATCAATAGTGGTGTGAATCAATGAAGTCAATGGACATACCCAGTTCCGTCAGGGTGGAATTGTACTGTGTTAATAGGACCGAAATGGCCCTTGACGCGACCAATCTCCTCTTCGAAGATCTCGTGGAAGAATCGCACCTCGAATTTACCTGCCCTAGTGCTCGTGGTTGTGACATCTCTGCGAAAGAACAACGATAATACGATAGAGGGATGATTAGCACCAAACTTTATTTGGATATGTACGAAGATGGACGCCAGTTCACATACAATTGTATATACACACGGTATATGGATACATGGGTACGGGTATATGGTTCAAGAAATCACGTCGACTCTGCCAGAAAATACAGAACAATTGGTCTCAGCAGTAATAAATGATATCCTCATGGTAGATTATCGGATACTATCTAAGCTTACAGAAAATCATTGACCATAACAAAACAGGCTTCAATTTTTTTTAAACAATACGAGCGAGGACGGTCTTACTTGACTGGACATCACCACTCAACAACGCATATTTCAGATCAATGCGAAGCTTACCTGGCATCTTGACCTCCTCCTAGTAGTACATGATCACGGATCGGACTTATTGACGCTGAGTTTACTGGTCGGTCGGTCTTATAAGTCTGTAGAGTATATTAATAAGTGTGGGATGCAATGAGAATGGATTGTAGACGACGATATAAGTTACAAACACACAACTAATACACTCGACACTGAGAAATCCGTTACACCATTTGCAAATCAACTAGAAAATGCATACAGCGCGGAGGTGGATATGCAGCAGCTTTACCGCTACACACGAGACGAGAGCGCGAGCTCAGAGAACACTTCATCCGCATAATTTCCTCGGAAGAACGAAAGTTAATAAATGATTTTTTCTCATCACTGTCGCGCCCCACCACATGCAGAAGCAACACTGGTGAAAAAGCAGCTAAGGTATAACCCAGAAGCGAATCAAAAATTTCCTGACTACAAAACAGCATATCTCTCTACCACCAATATACGATAGAGACAAAAGCACATGCGCTTAGAACACAGATATCCGTTTCTTATCGCATGATACGATTACCTTTAGGACTTCAAACGTTTTTGGGTCGAGAAGTTTGGAGTTGTGGTCCTTTGATGCGGTGATGAGACATGATCGGTTGGGTGACATCTGGATGTCGTTGACTTGGGCGTCGTGTACGGCGACGATGGTAGTGGGTTCCCACGTCTTGATATCCCAAAGCTATAAACAGGGAAGAAATAAAATATAATTAGCGAGCTACAAATAGAATGAATTCACGAGCAGTAATTTGAAACGGTTAAACTATGGTGCGAATCAGAGTAACAAATTGGCACAAGCATCACCACGAGAGCAAAACGCTGAGAATAGATGGCTGATGAATACAAAGCCGAAACACCGAGATGCACACAACGCAGAACATGACACAATTGTAAAGGTTTGTAGATTGTGGTCTAGTGTGAATAAATAAACGAATAGAGCGCGAGCTCAGAATAATAACATCCGCACAATTTCCTCGGAAGAACGAAAGTTAATGATTTTACATTTTCTCATCATAGTCGCGCTCGATGTCATGGTGCGGCAGAGGCTACCAGTTATGCAAAAATCGAGAGTCGGAGCTGTATCACGGACATCACGGACTTAAGACAAAAAAAAGATAACACAAAACTTAACTTGTGATAAATATGCACGCAATAAGCTATCTCGTACACACATAATACTAGTGATTCCTTAGATTCGAGGGCATCTACATACCTTCATTTCTCCGTTCTCGTGGCCGGTGATGTATGTATCGTCGTATGGGCCCCATTCGGCTGTTGTAACCTGCAATGGAAATTGAAAGTACAGCAGTTAAGTATCGGAAAACACAACTTGAGGTGAAATAAAGAAAATAGCTTTACATAGAAAGAAGGTGCAACACACATGGACATACTCACAAGCTCTATATATATATATAAAGTGATTTGCCTACTCATCACATAATTTGAAAAATAGACGCCAGAACCACGCGTATACTCACAAACACAGCATTCATGCACAAATATCAGCGACTGAATGTATAAGTTGTTGTTACTGCGCTTCCGTGAGTTTGAGCGGAAGCGAAGTAGACATTGAAACAACTCCCTCGATATACGGGCCGTACGAATATCCCACCTCACAGGTTAGAGGCACGATCCAAAAAACGATCCGATAAAAACACGAAGACCCTATATGCGCCATTGCTACAAGAAACACCAGGAGTAATTGTTGCAGTATTCTGTTTGTGGCCAGACCATCCATAGAGGTGTGTATGGTACATGTAACTTCACACTGATACATAAAGCGCTGACGCACGAGCTACACACCTTAGAGTCGTTGAGTTCAACGACCGTGTGCGGCTTGTTGTTCTTCATTTGACTCGAATCGTTGAGATCGAATAATCTGATCTCGCACGGGAAACCCATACGTTGATCTGTGGTGACAGCTAACTGGTTAAAAGCCTCGTTGAAGCGTACTGTTCGTACGGCGGTCTCGGTGCCTAGCTTGTGAAGTTCGGTACCAGTTTCACAGTCCCATACACGCGCCGTGTTATCGGCTGCACCAGTGACCACATGCGTCGAGTCCTGTGTGGCAATGGGTTCATATAAATATATGAGCACACTATTCGCGAGACGACGGGGTGTGCATTCGTATACACCATACACAGGTGTATCTGCTATTGATGTTGTGTAATGCTTATATGTACACCGCTGGCACGTATCTCATGAACCAGTACATTATTTTCTTACTGTATGCAACAGTTTGTGCTTTACAAGTGCTTACACTGCATTTGTAAAATACAATACGGAAACCGCTGGACGAGTCAGATTTCAAATACAATCAGCTATTGTCTATATACACTTCTCCGCACCGTCGAGGGCCTAACCACGACTACGACAGGGATAACTTATTTAGATCATGTTCTACTTGGCATCTTCCTCGCACGGATATGTCTAGTGCAAGTATAATCAACATTTATGACGGTTTGGCGAGATAATTCAGTAAAATGTCCAAAACGCACAAGAATATATGCAATTTCATTCCGATGGCAGTGACGCAGTAGAATATGGCCCAGAATACATCATTTGCGTCTGTGTAATACTATATATAGCAGCTCAAAGTATCTAGTTTCTAGAAACGATATTAGACTACACCTTCATACATTGTTCCGTACGGATAATAAATACTAGTAATATTGCGTGTAAGAGTATTACGATCATAAAAACCATTGAAGCACATGAAAGAAGCTCTTACTTCATACGGTTACAAAAGTGAAGAAGTTCTTTCACTCTCGATATTCTTGCTTGGCATACATACATGTCAACCGACATATCTCTGTTTGACAACTAGTATGTGTGTGTGGGATGTTTAACGAAATCGAAACTGCATCTACAGTGAAAAATGGTGGTACATATATGGCATCTCAGTTAGTCATGTAATCTGAGCGCGCACAACAACTGCGTTTACATATATCATTGCAGCAGTAAGTGTGTTTGTCGGTAGTACGGTGAATGTAAAGAAGCAACACAATTAAATGTCGACTATGTAAATTTGATTTTGCGTATAGTATACGGTTTATGAACAAAAATCATTCGTATGCAGATTAACGATTGTATAATTTGTAGCGCACTACATATCAAACTGTGAACACATTCTATGTCTAGTAAAGCACGCACGCACATACATGTTGTTCTCCTACTCACCCAGTTGACATCGATAGACCAGCAAGCACCTTTGTGTCCTTTATATGTACCCAAACGTTCACCATTGTGACTGAACCAGACGGTAGGTTTGGTATCCTTGGCGACGGAAAACAACAGATCGCCCGAGCGATTGTATCTAATCTGAGTCAGGGAACGCTCGTGCCCGTAGCACATTATAGGTTTCATAGTGTTTTTATATGTGTACTCACGCGTATGCGTGTGTGTGTTTATGATGCAATTTAATGCTTCGTATGTACAGGTCAGGTTGTGGTATATGCCTGTGAATAGGCTTTTTGGGTCAAAACGAAGAGGTAAGCGTGTGTGTACATCTCTTTGCGCGCATTTTGTTCAGTTGTTTGTTTCACAATCATCCACACGTGTCGTTCACTCAAAGAAAATGTACCGACACAACCAAAGTACGTTTAAGGACTCGATTCTATGGAGCTACCGACCATACCTGCAAGTCCGGCTTATTTTTAAAACAGTATATTATAAACGTACAATTATAAAAATAAAGCCTTCACATTGGTGAAGTTTCCTTAGTACTAATTGAAATAGCCTAAGAATAGTTCTATTTATAAATCTTAAAATTAGAAGTGTCAGTTCACTGAAGCGTCTGTCGACGAGTGTTTAGTAGCGAGAAAATGCGATGCCCCTAGACACTGACAGCATACTGAGTAATTAACGACGTTTTTTTAAACAGAGAATGTCGTAAAAATCGAACTGCCCAGAAGATGACCAGAATTAACGACAAATGTAAGTACCAAGAATTGATGTAAATTGAAGGATCTCTGGAATTCGCATTCCGCTACTGGTGAGTGTTCGTGTTTCACTGTTTTCTCTTTTCACACACAACAACAAAGATTCTGAAATAGACAAACAACTACTATAAAAATATACAATTTAAAAAGGTATATGTGTCGATCACAGCACCTATCGTACTTCAGTCCGTGACAAACTACACAGAAGCATCATCATAAAAGGTACGCAGAAGGAACTTGACTACTCATATCCCTTTCTAATGTCCATCTAACGCTAAAATAATATATTCATGGTATAAGTAACTGAGGAGCTGCATTCGAGACGAGTCGTATGGTTCAATCGTTACACTGGGGGTTAGCGAAAATACATAAATATTTACCATAATTGATGATGTTAGAGAACAGACAAAAAGGACACGAATATTTAACAGCTGAAAAAATATGTTTGTGTCCACCTAGGTGTTCAGTGTGCATTTATATATATAGTTATACGCATGCTTGTTTACATACATATATATGAGTGTATGCATACATAGATATACACAAAACAATCGCTCATGCTAACACACAAACACACACACACTTACACACACACACACACACACACACACACACACACACACACACACAC